AACAACTGCGATTCATACTTCTTGGCCGCTAAACAACAAACAGCTCCTGATGGAGTTGAATGAAAAGGTTAAACACATCATATGACACGTGCGGGCATTGACATAGCAGGAAGCAGACAGGACCCAAATGCAGTACTGGTGCAGGTAGTTTATTTGAAGATTCAAAATTCCAAAAACCAGGACAGAATCACAGACAAAGTCGAGCAGAGCTGAGAACACGAACACAGTTGAGACTGAGAGCACAGGCAACAGACTTGTTCAGGAACAAACTAGTAGGAACAGCTACAACAAAAAGCTCGACACAACACTGGCACAAAGGATACAATGCACACGAAGGATACAGCGCTCACAAAGACAGTCACTAACTTACAATGATCCAACCAGGCCAGAGTGTGGGAGAGAGGTATATATGCAGGGAGCACCAGGTGACACATTAGTGAGGCTAATTACAGACAGGTGTGTGTGATCACACAGATTAGCCCACACAGCAGACAACAGGAAGAGGAAACAGAGAGACCTGACATCATCAAGAAGGAGATTCTTATGTTTAATTAATAATATTTTAATTCAGTTTTTGTAATTGTACTGTGAATTTGTATGACTTTCTGAATGTAGTAGACACAAAAAAAAAAAACAACAACAAAGAAATAGAAATAAAAAAAAATCTAACAGTTTTGTTATTATTAGTGTCAGATAATGTCCTGGATTGAATTCTGATTAAATGAGATTCATGTCACAATAAAGATTTATGGACATGTCAACACCAACATCAACACGTCCTCCCTGGTTTCAGCTCCACTAAGTCACAGCTCAACATAATTAGAGCCTCTGTTTTATAGTGGATTTCCGGGCTGAATTCCCTGCATGAATTAAAATCTTTTCCCCTGGGTGTGAGCCCTGTCAGACAAGCTGCTCATTAGCTTCAACTTTCCTGGTACAGACACCAGAGCTAATATTAGCTACAACAGTCCTGGTACAGACCCCAGAGCTAACATTAGCTTCAACAGTCCTGGTACAGACACCGGAGCTAACATTAGCTACAACAGTCTTGGTACAGACACCAGAGCTAACATTAGCTACAGCAGTCCTGGTACAGACACCAGAGCTAACATTAGCTTCAACTGAATTCCCTGCATGAATTAAAATCTTTCCCCCTGGGTGTGAGCCCTGTCAGACAAGCTGCTCATTAGCTTCAACTTTCCTGGTACAGACACCAGAGCTAATATTAGCTACAACAGTCCTGGTACAGACACCAGAGCTAATATTAGCTACAACAGTCCTGGTACAGACCCCAGAGCTAACATTAGCTTCAACAGTTCTGGTACAGACACCAGAGCTAACATTAGCTTCAACAGTTCTGGTACAGACACCAGAGCTAACATTAGCTTCAACTGAATTCCCTGCATGAATTAAAATCTTTTCCCCTGGGTGTGAGCCCTGTCATACAAGCTGCTCATTAGCTTCAACTGTCCTGGTACAGACACCAGAGCTAACATTAGCTTCAACAGTCCTGGTACAGACTCCAGAGCTAACATTAGCTACAACAGTTCTGGTACAGACACCAGAGCTAACATTCGCTTCAACTGAATTCCCTGCATGAATTAAAATCTTTCCCCCTGGGTGTGAGCCCTGTCAGACAAGCTGCTCATTAGGACAAAGTCAGGGAAAAAAGTGACTCCGCAGTGATGTCAGCCGCGAAGACGCTGCTGAATAAAAGTGTCTTCCCTCCTTTCCTGCAGACTTTTAGAGGCTTAGAGAAAAGGACAGTTTCGGGTTTTCTCCCCACGTCTGTCCCCGAGTGGGTTTGACTTCTGCCTCTTGACTTTGTGACTCAGTGCTGAGGCTGAAGAAACCACAGAACGCCAAAACAAACATCTAATAAACTCTGTTGTGTTGCTTCACTGTGCTTTTTTTTTTTTTTATCTCTCAGCGCTGACCTCATGTCTCTCTCTGCCTCCCCCTACAGTTCGGTAGCAGAGCAGCTAAAACGAGGTGAGACCGTCCAGGCCGAGGCCTTCGACAGCGTCACCATTTACTTCAGCGACATCGTTGGCTTCACCTCCATGTCTGCGGAGAGTACGCCGCTACAGGTACCACCGCGATCGACACGACGGTTCAGATTTTTGTTGCAAACAGTTTCCCTCAGAGCAAATCATCAAGCTGAAGGCGAGATTTTAAATGAGCGTAAGCACGGTTCATCTCTCTTTCAGTTCCAAATTTCACCCGGTATTCGTCAGCAGCGGGTCTGCGGAACGTCTCATTGTTCCTACACACACGCGCGCGCGGACCACTGAAAATAGTACACTTGTTAGACGGCAGAGTGCTGAGTGCGGTGGTGCTGACGCAGCGTTGACTCACTCGATACTCTCTGGTATCTACTTCCCTCACACAAACCCCCAAAGTAAAACCAAAGTCAGGCTTAAGGATCAAAGACGCATGTGGGCCGAGGGCTTGACGCACGTTTGCCGGCGTAGCAACACGTTACCGAAGCTGATGAGCGACGATTTCACTACTATGACTTCTAAGCAGGTGCTAACCGATCATTGCGGAGTAGAGAAAAATCGGAGTCCGCCACCTAGTGACCATTTCAGCAGCGTGTTCTCTCTCTCGGGGTGTCCTCCGACCGCAGTTCTAACCTCTGAAGTATCTGCTGTTTCCAGGTGGTCACGTTGCTCAACGACCTCTACACCTGCTTTGACGCCATCATTGACAACTTTGACGTCTACAAGGTGAGTCTTCGCCTCCTGCCGCCGCCGCCCCCGCCGCGGCAGGCAC